CATAGTATATTATAGTAAAAAACGTGAAAAGAACGCCATACTATACTATGGCAAAAATTTTTTAAAAATGACAAAGTATAATAAAGCATAAAACCATCGGAAAACATCATAGTATGGCAATGTACGAAGACGTCATGGGATAATAAAGCCCTAAAAGCAAAAAAAACAACATAGTATATTATAGTAAAAAACGTGAAAAGAACGCCATACTATACTATGGCAAAAATTTTTTAAAAATGACAAAGTATAATAAAGCATAAAACCATCGGAAAACATCATAGTATGGCAATGTACGAAGACGTCATGGGATAATAAAGCCCTAAAAGCAAAAAAAACAACATAGTATATTATAGTAAAAAACGTGAAAAGAACGCCATACTATACTATGGCAAAAATTTTTTAAAAATGACAAAGTATAATAAAGCATAAAACCATCGGAAAACATCATAGTATGGCAATGTACGAAGACGTCATGGGATAATAAAGCCCTAAAAGCAAAAAAAACAACATAGTATATTATAGTAAAAAACGTGAAAAAAACGCCATACTATACTATGGCAAAAAAAATGAAAAAATGACAATGTGTAATAAAGCATAAACCATCAGAAAACGTCATAGTATGGCAAAGTACGAAGACATCATAATACATTAAGGCCTCAAAAGTGAAAAAAACAACATAGTATAGGCAAAGTACGAAGACGTCATGGTATAATAAGGCCCTAAAAGCAAAAAAAAACAATATAGTATAGAAAGGCATACAAACATCAACAAACATCATAGTGTAATAAGGCATAAAAACATCAAAAAACCTAATAATATAATGAGATATGACTCCGTCAAAGTACATTAAGGCCTCAAAAGTGAAAAAAAACGACATAGTATAGTGTAGACAAAAACGTGACAAAACGACATAGTATAGAATGGCAAAATATGGAAAAAATGACAAGACATAATAAAGCATAAAACCATCAGAAAACGTCATAGTATGGCAAAGTACGAAGACATCATAGTACATTAAGGCCTCAAAAGTGAAAAAAACAACACAGTGTAGTATAGCAAAAAACGTGAAAAAACGACATAGTATAGTATGGCAAAAAAATTGAAAAAATGACAAAGTATAATAAAGCATAAAACCACCAGAAAACGTCATAGTATGGCAAAGTACGAAGACATCATAGTACATTAAGGCCTCAAAAGTGAAAAAAACAACACAGTGTAGTATAGCAAAAAACGTGAAAAAACGACATAGTATAGTATGGCAAAAAAATTGAAAAAATGACAAAGTATAATAAAGCATAAAACCACCAGAAAACGTCATAGTATGGCAAAGTACGAAGACATCATAGTACATTAAGGCCTCAAAAGTGAAAAAAACAACACAGTGTAGTATAGCAAAAAACGTGAAAAAACGACATAGTATAGTATGGCAAAAAAATTGAAAAAATGACAAAGTATAATAAAGCATAAAACCACCAGAAAACGTCATAGTATGGCAAAGTACGAAGACATCATAGTACATTAAGGCCTCAAAAGTGAAAAAAACAACACAGTGTAGTATAGCAAAAAACGTGAAAAAACGACATAGTATAGTATGGCAAAAAAATTGAAAAAATGACAAAGTATAATAAAGCATAAAACCACCAGAAAACGTCATAGTATGGCAAAGTACGAAGACATCATAGTACATTAAGGCCTCAAAAGTGAAAAAAACAACACAGTGTAGTATAGCAAAAAACGTGAAAAAACGACATAGTATAGTATGGCAAAAAAATTGAAAAAATGACAAAGTATAATAAAGCATAAAACCACCAGAAAACGTCATAGTATGGCAAAGTACGAAGACATCATAGTACATTAAGGCCTCAAAAGTGAAAAAAACAACACAGTGTAGTATAGCAAAAAACGTGAAAAAACGACATAGTATAGTATGGCAAAAAAATTGAAAAAATGACAAAGTATAATAAAGCATAAAACCACCAGAAAACGTCATAGTATGGCAAAGTACGAAGACATCATAGTACATTAAGGCCTCAAAAGTGAAAAAAACAACACAGTGTAGTATAGCAAAAAACGTGAAAAAACGACATAGTATAGTATGGCAAAAAAATTGAAAAAATGACAAAGTATAATAAAGCATAAAACCACCAGAAAACGTCATAGTATGGCAAAGTACGAAGACATCATAGTACATTAAGGCCTCAAAAGTGAAAAAAACAACACAGTGTAGTATAGCAAAAAACGTGAAAAAACGACATAGTATAGTATGGCAAAAAAATTGAAAAAATGACAAAGTATAATAAAGCATAAAACCACCAGAAAACGTCATAGTATGGCAAAGTACGAAGACATCATAGTACATTAAGGCCTCAAAAGTGAAAAAAACAACACAGTGTAGTATAGCAAAAAACGTGAAAAAACGACATAGTATAGTATGGCAAAAAAATTGAAAAAATGACAAAGTATAATAAAGCATAAAACCACCAGAAAACGTCATAGTATGGCAAAGTACGAAGACATCATAGTACATTAAGGCCTCAAAAGTGAAAAAAACAACACAGTGTAGTATAGCAAAAAACGTGAAAAAACGACATAGTATAGTATGGCAAAAAAATTGAAAAAATGACAAAGTATAATAAAGCATAAAACCACCAGAAAACGTCATAGTATGGCAAAGTACGAAGACATCATAGTACATTAAGGCCTCAAAAGTGAAAAAAACAACACAGTGTAGTATAGCAAAAAACGTGAAAAAACGACATAGTATAGTATGGCAAAAAAATTGAAAAAATGACAAAGTATAATAAAGCATAAAACCACCAGAAAACGTCATAGTATGGCAAAGTACGAAGACATCATAGTACATTAAGGCCTCAAAAGTGAAAAAAACAACACAGTGTAGTATAGCAAAAAACGTGAAAAAACGACATAGTATAGTATGGCAAAAAAATTGAAAAAATGACAAAGTATAATAAAGCATAAAACCACCAGAAAACGTCATAGTATGGCAAGGTATGAAGATGTCATGGTATAATAAGGCCCTAAAAGTGAAAAAAAAAAGTAAAAAAAGTAAGTGTCATAGTGTAGTAAGGTATTAAACCATCATAGTGTACTCAGGCATAGAAGCAAGAGATAACTGAAAACTCATAAAGGGACAGGAAAATTAAGAAAGTTCCATAAGAAAGGTCCCAGGTGGGATTTGAATCCTGCACCTTCTCCTTGGAAATTCACATCTTCACATCTAAGCATGGTAGTGCAGTGGTTACTGCACTACCATGCTGCCTCTCAAGACCTTATCATAGTCAGGCATTAAAACATAAAAGTTTAGGAAGGTACTAAGGAAAATGATATCAAGGCAAAAAACATCATAGTATAGAAAGGCATAAAAACATCAAAAAACATCATTGTGTAATAAGGCATAAAAATGATAACAAACGTTATAGTATAGTAAGACATAAAACGTCATGGTATAGTAAGGCATAAAAACTTGAAAAAACATTATAGTATAGTAAGGCATAAAAATGTCAAAAGATGTCATAGTATAGTAAGGCATAAAAGGTCTTAGTTAAGTAAGGTCTAAAAAATCATAGTACAGTAAGTAATCAGCTGATGTGGGTGTAATTGTTCTACTTATCATGTGTCACCACAGCTTCAGTCAGCCAATCATGTCGTTCCTGTCAAACTTTAAATCCATTCTCTCTACTGCTTTCAGCTGTCATTTCAGGCAGATTGCTGCGACCCTCCTCCTCCCCTTTGAACTTCTGGCCTCATGTCCAGCGCCTAGGTGGAGCTCATCCGAAGCCATTCCTCTTCATCCAGATCCTCACTTTATTTCCTAGGATTTCCTACATGATGCACAGGATCTTCCCCCTCATTCCAATATGATGACATCACAACAGGGTCTAACCACCAAAGACTATTCACTTCTCATTCTTGCTGTTTGCACATGGAAATAAAGTGTTTTTGCTTTAATATCTGAGTCTCTCCTGATTGAACTATAGTAAGGCATAAAAAATATCAAAAAACATCATAATATAGTAAGGAATAAAAATTTGAAAAAAAGTCATAGTATAATAAGGCATAAAACATCATAGTATAGTGAGGCATAAAACTACATAGTATATTAAGGAATAAAAATGTCATAGTATAGTAAAGCATAAAAATTTGAAAAAAATCTTATAGTATAGTAAGGCATAAAAATATGAAAAAACGTCATAATATAATAAGGCATAAAACGGCATAGTATAGTAAGGCATAAAAAGTCATAAAAAGTAATAGCATAGTAAGGTACAAAAGGTCATATTATACCATAAATACATACATGATTTTATATATGTACATATAAATGGAAATTCTAAATATGTACATCTATTGCATTTTCTTATGGGCACTGCGAAATGTAAATTCAGATCTTATATGATAATGAACCGTTTGATTGATGGCATTAAAAAGCCAATCTCTTTTTTTTTGAAGGGGTGGCGTTGTTGCGTCCCTACCAATGTTGAGACCAAATATACGCCCTTGGTTACAGGTGCAACAAGGTGCACTTGTTATAACCAGACGTGAAACAAAGCTGAATCTTTCAACCAGAGTTGTTCCTCGTTTAACACCTTCGCGTATTGTAAGACTTATAATGGTGCCATTGTGTTTTTGGTGTAGATTAAATACATTTACACAGAGATGTTGGTAGTATGTTGCAGCTGGCTGTTATGTTTTCCCTCCTGCACTGTAACTCACTGAGGACAAAGAGTTTCAGACACCGCGACCCGTGGGAGTTTGAATCTGTAAGCAGATACATATAAACTTGTATTGCCTTTCACTCCTCCCCTGCACAGGAATGTGAAACGCACCTGAACTGGATCCTGCATGAGGAAGAATGACTGCAGAAAGTCGCCAACTCACCTGTTCCGGGACAGAAGTTTCCCTGGCAGGACAGAGAAAAATCATTATCCATCCATTTCACTAAGCACCCCCTCCCCCTCAGCTGTGGCGTCGTTTAACTAGAAGAAGCTGGTAAAGTTGGATAACAATGGAGGAGTGCTGCATGTCTGACGAGGACCTGGAGAGACTCAGGATACACAGAGAAATAGAGAGAAGACTCCGTCGTGATAAGAGAGAGTCTCACCGGGAGCTGAAGTTGCTGCTTTTAGGTGAGTGCCAGCAGAGTTCAGTCATTAACGTCCTCATGTTCACTCACTGCGACTGAAAATGTTAGAAAATAATGAGCTACAGCATGTTTACCCTTTGAGCTGCTCAACTGCCAGTCAGGATGTCAGTCACACGTGGACATTATATTCCCTTAAAATCTGGATGGTTCACTACTACTACCTAGGAAGTTACTAGAAACTTATCATATTAGGTTGATACAGATTCCATATAAAATGGATACAGCTTAGGTGAATGTAATCACACTAATTAGGCCTATATGTTTTGACATGTAGATAGTCAGTGTTATCATGCGTAATGTTTAAAAAAAAAAAAACACTAAATAATTTTTTCTGTATATCTCAACAAAAACACATTCTAGAAGCTATTGTTATGTAAGAAAATCTATAATTTTAACAATACCTTACAGTTGTTTTGATATTTTATAGAGAATATTGAATCATGAAAATGATTAAATGATGATGAATGAAATAAATGGGAAATGGTAACACTAATATGATAACATGCTCACTGATGTTATAATGATGGTATAATATCTGCAGTGTTCACCATCTTAGTTTATGATGGTAGCACTAAATAGCCAACTGGCACTGAACACAAAGTCGCAGCAGCTGAGGGTGATGAAAATATAATTAATTTTGTTCATAAAAGTATTGGACAAATTAAACATATTATCTGATGATGACACTAGAAGGCCAGGCAAGGGATCATCAATATCATGACAATTCATTCTGAAGGGAGTATAACTGTACTAAATTTCATGGAAATCCATCAAATAATTGTTGAGACATTTCACCAAAATCAAAAATGTCCTCTGTCTGTTCTCTGATAATTCAGTCTAGGCCAAAGCAGCAGTCCGACCCACAAATAGATGATGTCATGACCTAGAGAATAACTCCATGAGGAGTGTCTGTGCAGATATAGATGGTGGGCAGACTTTGATAGAAAGTAGTTTTAAGTGACATGATATCATTTAGATTTGCAGACTGTGAGCAACTGCATTATTATTTTTGGAAATGTTGTGAGTTGAGTTGAATTAAACAGAAGTGAGCTGACAAACCCAGGAAATGAAAAACAATCTGGATCAATAGATAGCGAGGCTTTGGTTTGTTTTCCTTGGCTTCACTGTAGTTGCAGGTTACCCTTTGCATTCTTGAAATAGTTGGTGAAATGCTGATGAGTCTGTAGCTTGATAAGCTTCATAAGCTTTTTTTTTTTCTCATTCAACTCAAACTAGAGTACTGCATGTTTTTATAAGAGCAGACCTTCAGTTTCATAGACATCTTCCTCACAAGACATTAGGGTCTCAAATAATAATGCGTCATTGCAAAAGACATTCCTACTGAAATGTCAACATACAAAAAAGAGTCAGCCATGTTAGCAGTGCAGAACACAAAAAAAGAGAACAAGGTGTGAGACAGTGCAGAGCGACATTTTGGCAACCATAAGGATGAGTAAATACATTATGAAATATATTACAGCTCATAACAGCTTCAGACGAGGCCTGTTTTCTTCCCAGAACTATCAAAACAGCCCACATAAAAGCTATTGGTTATGTTGGAAACAGTACATTAGACATGAAGGACTTTGTTTAAAGGTCAGTACTACTTTAAACTTCAACTTGAGTTAGCCTGTTTGGAGAACAATATCCTGCTGTAAAGGTCAGTCTAATGGTTAACATTTTTAGGCATTTTAGGTGGTTAGCTGACACTCTTATCGAGAGTAATTTACAACTGGTGGGCAGGAAGCGGTTCACTGTTCCACTCAAGGACACATGGCTGATGATGGACATGTTGACTTGCATGGATCAAATGCGAACTTTCAGTGTCCATTAACAAAGACAGAATGAAACACATTTTGTACCTTGCAGAAAAACCTCAATTACACACAGCAACAAATGCAACATTAATTTATATTGTTTATATGACTTTTCCCCTCTATATTTTCTTTTAGATTTTGGGAAAGTTCCACTGTTTTAATTTTTTCATTTTTTTGGTTCTTTATCTGCTTTTATGCTTTTTTTTCTCCAAACAAATGTAAGGAAACAAATAAATCATAAATTATTCAAATAAAACATTAGTAATGTGGTGTTTTATAGAAACAAAGGAACGCATGGTGGTTTATATACACCTGGAGAATTCAAGCACATATGCATTCACTCATGCACACATACTCACTTCTGTGGCTTGGGAAAAAAAATATTACAACCTGTGAGACTTAAACTCATGAGACTATTTTTTCAGTCTAAAGAATGCAGCATTTTTTGTTTGTTTTGTTGCTTAAATCCTGTCTAGCTACAGCTGATTGAAGTTCCGATTTTTATTTTTTTTTTAGTGCATGTCACAGATGTCCTATTTCTGGCGTTGCTTTGATCTTATTCCATTTTTCATCCTTTGGTCTCATTCATCTCATTTGCCTAGGGACTGGTGAAAGTGGGAAGAGCACTTTCATCAAACAGATGAGGATCATCCATGGCAGCGGATACAGTGAAGCTGACAGGAAAGGTTTCACTCGGCTGGTGTTTCAGAACATCGTCACGGCCATCCAGGCTCTGATCCAGGCCATGAAGACTCTAGAGATTGACTTCATCGATGACCAGAACATTGTGAGAAGCTGTACACGTTTTTAAAAAAGACAGTGTTGAAGTCTTCTGTAGCATTTTATGAAGCACAATGTGACACTGAGACCTTAACAAGGCTGTAACAATACTCGCAATGTCAACATGCTTGGTTTTCACCATCTTGTTGAGTCATTTCGCTCAAAACTACAAATTTCACGGGACCATGAATGTCTACAAAATGTCATGGCAATACATCTAATTGTTGATTTATTTGGTCTGGATCCACATGGTGGTCGCCAACCTATTGACCAGACCTTGCCATCAGAAGAGCCACACACAAAAATTAGCTTTTGTTGAATATTTGTTCACTGAATTATTCTAATTGGATTTTTTTTCACAGCTCTCAGCCTCTTAAATCTCTAATTCAGTCAAAGGTACAAAGTTTGTGTTAAAAAAAAATCCCCTGTGGATGTTTTGTGTGTGTCAGAGGCACGCCGAGACGCTGAGAAAAGTGGAGGTAGAGCAGGTGTCCACTCTGGCGGACTTGCAGGTGGATGCAATTAGAAGAGTGTGGAATGACCACGGTGTTCAAAGATGCTACGACCGCCGGAGGGAATTCCAGTTATCCGACTCTGCCAAATAGTAAGACTTTTATATGATTCATATCAGATCATTTACATAAACCCAAGGCTCTCCCAGAGAACCAAAGCTGTTGCTGTGCTGTATTTTGCATTCATCAACTCAAATAGTGAGTGTGGATTCATGCTGATAAATCTTTGATAGAACAAGTGCAACAAGTTTTCTGTAAGATGTTCCTGTCTATCTAGTTAGGTACGTGTCAGGATAATAAACTGAATGCATTATTGTTAACTTTTTAGTTACCTGAACGACCTGGAGAGAATCACAGAGCCGCTTTACATCCCGACCCAGCAGGACATCTTGAGGGTCAGGGTCGCTACCACAGGCATCATAGAGTACCCCTTCGACCTTTCAAAAGTGATCTTCAGGTAGGGTCTTATACTGTATAACGTGCCACAGCAAAAATATAAGGAAAATTATGACGATTTTCAGACTAAAACAACACATGAAGAAGAATTATCTCCCTGATTTGGTTATAGCATCCAAGTCTCTGATGCTGTTTTGAATCTCGACTGATGAGCTCTAATGAAATCTGAAGATTTGGTGAAATAATTTGGCACAAAAAAAAATTCAGATAGTTCATCTGTTCAACCAGCATTTCAATAGCCATGTTATATAATATAGCAATTATTCCTTTAGTAGTCAAGGAGCTTTTATATTTTACTTAAGCCGATGGTCATGTGTCTCTAGGATGGTGGATGTGGGTGGTCAGCGTTCAGAGAGGAGGAAATGGATCCACTGTTTCGAGAACGTCACCTCCATCATATACTTGGCGGCCCTCAGCGAGTACGACCAGGTCCTTTATGAGAGTGAGAATGATGTAAGTTCAAAAGTCTGTTACGCTTATGATTTGAGTCTTGATTTCTTGTTTCTTGGCTTTAGCTGCTGTCCAAAAGTTCTTCTTCATTTTTTTCCCATGAAATTGCATTGTCCAATTAGGCGACACTTTTCTGTTGTCTAAGATTACCCCCCCCTCTCTTCTTCAGAATCGACTGAAAGAGAGCCTCGCCTTGTTCAAGACCATCCTCTCGTACCCTTGGTTCCACGAGTCCTCCACCATCCTCTTCCTGAACAAAACAGACCTGCTAAATGAGAAAATCTCACAGTCTCATTTGGCAAATTACTTCCCAGCGTTCAGTGGTAAAGCATGCTCTTTTCTTTTTGCTGTGCGTGTGTTAAAACAGCATTCAGCCTGAAATCACTTCCTATTTAGTGCAATGATGAAAATAATTGTTAGTTGCTGAATTAATTGAGTGTAAAATCCCACAATAGAACAAACAAAGTTTTTTCCATGGCATGTACACTACTCTCTAACAACCGTCTCACATTATAGAGTAAACTACTGTACTGACTGTCTATTGTTGTGCATCTCTTGGAGTGTAATTTCCTCCAATTACACTGATTCCCTCTGATTGTGACGACACAGGGCCTCCGTGTGACGTTGAATCTGCGAAAAAGTTCATCTTGCAAATGTACGTGGAGCATCACAGCGGGCATCACAAACCCCTTTACTCACACTACACCTGCGCCACGGACACAGACAACATCCGGATCGTCTTCAAAGACGTCAAAAATATGCTCTTCAGAGATAACCTTGAAAAGTTCAACCTCGAGTAAGCAAGGTTGTAGGACAAAGTGATGGTTTCGCCTTTAGGAACGAGAAAGCTGGTTACAGTCCCATGTTGTAACACTTTTGTGGACATTTTATCTATTATGTCAGGTAAGGCATGTTCATATCAGTACTGTATAACACAGACAGTGTGTGTCTGTGTACATTTTTTTTTTCAACACAGTTCATCATGCAGTAGATGTTTAAAAAAGCATATTTTCTATTGCTACAGAAGAGAAATGGACAACTGCATTGTCAGTTAATGTTTAAACTCCACTGTTACAGACTATTTCCTTTTCTCAGATTTTGGTGTGATAATCAGCAACTGGTATGAAACTGGTCTGACCAAGTCTTATCTTGCAAGTATGCAATCCACCTTGTCTCACAGCTCTGGGAGGAGGAAGTAAAGGATAGCCTACAGGGAAGTACAAATGCCTTAGCTTATATTTATGTCTGCAACAACAACAACCATGTAGCCTATGAAATTATTCTTTTTTTCACTAATTTTCACAAAATATAGATATTAAAACCACATGTGTTTTAAACAAACTGGATTCTGGTTTCTTATTTCTCTAGTAACTTTGTACAAAAACTTTTTTTTTTTACATCAGAAATATATAAATACAAGAAAAAAAACATACAGAAATATATTTAATCCATTTCATGGATCAAAGGCTGTTTTTGCAAACCCCTACTCTGCTCGAGCTCCAGGCGTGGCCACAATGATTGTCGTGCCTTGGTAACAACCTTTGTAACAAGCCAGCAATGTGCAAAGGTCTGACAGGCTGATCTCTGTCTTCCTGTGTAACTGTTGGGACTGAGCAGTGGTAAGTGAAAAGAGGCATTCAGCGAGGTTAGACCTGTGGCGAGAGCAATGCCTGTTTCCACACGGAAGCAGAGACTGTCTAGGTACTATTGATTTTATCTGCTTTGTGGCTGTAGTTTGCTTGTTGAAGGGTTGAAAAGTTCAGTGCTAATGCAGAATATAAAGGACACATTTGAAGTTGCCTTACAAACAGCAGAAGGGGAAAGCGTCAGATATTTGTTTTGGATCAAGTTACTATTTTCTTACCAGCATGTGGTAAATCGTGTGAATATTATCAGCACATGAAGCTGACAATGTTCTCGTTTTTGATTGTTATTGCTTTTTTACCCTGGGGGCTAATACAAATCCTGTAGCTGCACAATCAGGCTTACAAATCTTCTGTCAGGCATTAACAGCAGTTTCTCACTCTTCGCGGGTAATAATAACACAATGGCACCTACACATACACACAGAGTTTATCCCCTCCGGTCGAGGAAAAATAATGACACACAAACACACCCTCCTATATCCCCCGTTCAGTTGCACTGCCTGAGGAGGCTGCTGTGGCAGAGAGCTGTTGTAGCAGGTGATCGCCCTTATTTGGTAATGGCCCAGATCATGTGACCACAAAATGGTGGAAGCTGTGAGGTGTTTGTAAGCTGAGCATCTCCACCGAGAGGCTGAGAGCAGGAAATAGGCAGGGATCTTGGAAGCACATCCATGCTCTGAGACGCAGGAGGACACGCATTCCCGAGCCCCAGCAGTGGTGAGTAGATGGTTTTTATCTTGTGAAGATAAAAAGAAGAGAAAGAGGGATATGTTCTTTTTTTCCCCTCACAGCCAGCAGACAGGAAGAGAGAGGAAGGGAGGGAGGGAGGGAGGGGCTGCTGTCATCAGCACTGTGGTGCGCTGTGGAAGTGGATCTGAAGCAGCAGCATCCTCCATGGAGGATGCTTATAACGGATGATGCTGATTTTGTTATTCTGCTGTGTAGGAGTGTGTGTCACTGTGTGCTTATTATCTCTGTGTATGTGTAAGTGAGTTTGCACATACTGTACATATTTCTGTGAATTGTCAGCATGACAGTCACCTCCACTGTACAGGGATCAGCCATTCAGCATTTTTCTGTTGCATCTGCTAATGCAATCACATTTTCCTTGTTCCAGGCTGAGTGTACCGAGGAGGAACAAGGATGTTTCTTGTTCGTGCGAATGAGCACACGTGACTCACTGTGAATTTGCATCTCTGCCCAATCTGTGCTCAGGCAAGCGTGCAGCCATTCGATTCGAATCAGCACTAGAAAAAGGCAGCGAGGAGGGGAGTGAGCTTGTCATGATGTAACAGCCCCCACCCCCCCACCCCACTTCCCCCACACCCCTTCAGCATCCTCCCCCTCCTCCGGTTTAAATGGAGGGATTATTCACAGGGGAAGATGACCTTTTAACCTCAAAATCTTTCTCTTTTCCTTCATCCCTCCCCCTTTTCTCCCCCCTACCACCTTACCACGCTTATCATTACTACCCCTGTTCCCTGATAACTATGGAAACATATCTGTTCAGACAAATAAAATCATTACACCATATTTTAACACATTCTAGCGTTTGGGGGCTTCTTGTACTTCTTGTGCTTTAGCCCGACCAATACAGGATTTTGAGGCAGATACTGATGTCAACATACGGTAGTAAAAAAAAAATCTGATTAATGCACATTGGCCGCTAGTAATTTTCTTTTTATATAAGCAAGAATCTTGACATGGATTTGTTTATAAGATTTGTTTTTTTACAGAACTGTGACCAAGACACATAAGTTGGACAGTTTACAATTGAAAACATCACCTAGTCATTGCTCTCTGGTCGACAAACTATGTCATAAAGACTTCACCTCAAACCTAGCTTAGCATTTTTCGATACCAGTATATCTGCAGTAACGTATTTATATTATATTATACGTATATTAATATTGTCTGATGTATCTGTATTGGTCTGTTGTTGTTGTTGTCGTTGTTGGGTATCACTGACAAAATCTAAGTCCTCTCCATCGCGCCCATTTGTTTTCTGACTCACAGCATTATATTAACAGGTGTGTGTGGATCTCTTTGATGCAAATCATAATAAATAGTTATAGTGTATCATATTGTACAAGCGCAGAAGCACAAGAAAATAAAAAGAGATTACCAGGTTATTTTGACTGTATAACAAAAGGTTTGATATGGATGGCACCATAGTATTTCTTGCTCACAACAACCAGACTTTATTATTTATTTACTATTTTATCATGTTTTCATGTAAAGAAACAATATTTAAGAAATTAGTTTTCAGTGATGAAGAATTCAGATCCTAAAATAAAAGTACCAGTACTGCAATATGAAAATAATCCATTACAAGTAAGTTATGCATTGAAAAGTAACAGTCATCCTACTTTGTTAACTCATTTGTTTTGTATATAAAACCTTAATCTGAAAAGTAACTATTAACTAAAGCTGTCAAATGGATGTAGTTGAATAAGCATATTGTTTCCCTCTGAATTGTAGTTGAGTAAAAGTATAAAGTAGCATGAAATGGAAATACTCAAGTAAAGTACAAGTACTTCGAATTTATCTTCATGTACAGTGATTTGAGTAAATGTACGTAGTTACAAAGTGAAATTTTAACAGGTCTACCTCACACTAAAATCAGATTAATGCTCCTGTTTGTAAATCATTAGCTGTAGAGGAATCACAGGTGATGGATTATGTAAGTGGTTACTCTCCAGGTCTGTTGTTGTATCATAAGAGTCAGTGTAATGACTGTAATTATCTCCTCAGGTCCTCCTGGGGATGGACCCGGCATCAGAGAGTAAAATGAACTCTGAGGGGGGCGAAGGCAGACCAGGTGAGTCAGCTTCTACGCAAACCAACATCAACATCATTCAAAAAGGAATATAAAGATTGTGATATCCATCAGAGATCATCATGGCCCAAGTGAATAACTGCTTTTATGTACTGTTTTGTTTTGTAGTCCCTCCTACTTCTCTCCCCCTGCAAGGAGGCCCCTCCCAGAGAAAGAAGCTGTCCGCCCCTCGTATCAGCCTGTCACTGGACCAGAGCGAGGACGACTTGGGGGAGACGCCAGATGATCTTGACATTAATGTCGACGATCTTGACACACCAGATGAGGGGGACTACCTCGACTACACGGACCACGAAACAGACTGGGAAGGTGGGTTATTCAGAATAGGACCAAGATCAATTTGACCCCCCACACAGTCCTGAGTCATCACGATCTTGCAGGAGGCGAGATGTGCTGAAATGTTGAGAAATTGCACTGGAGTCATGAGTTTTAGTTCAGTTTGCAGCTTTCCCCTCCTTCCTTACAGAGTCTTTGAATTTGAATTTCCTTGCTAGACCCTTATTTTGTTAACTAAAACTCATGGTGAAAAAGTCTCATTAAAGAAGAAAAAAAAGACATGGATTGACATGTCACAGTAGGAAACCCACAGGTGTAGACGATATATAGATTAATAATAAATGAATAAATTAACAATGGCTGAATTCCATTTAGCTGCTTCAGCTTCAAGGTGCTGGTAATGTTCACACTGTCACACTGTCACGGTTTACTGGGACACTTGAATAGAACAGAGCCATCACTAATGTTATTAGTAACACTCGTGCTTTTCTTACTATGCCATGTCAAAACAAATTGTAAATGGGCTTTTTTTTTCCACATCAGACCCGAATGCAGCCGGTAGGAGTGGGACAAGTGAGCCTTATGATCCAATCCCAACATACAGCGCCGAGGAGGAGCGCCAGGATGGCAAGCTGTGGAGGACGGTCATCATTGGGGAGCAGGAGCACCGCATCAACATGAAGATCATTGAGCCCTACATGAGAGTCATCTCCCATGGAGGTGACTATTAAAGAGCTAATTCACCATCATAACTGTGGCTGAGCTAATGAAATGCCACGGTCATTCTCAATATCCAGGTAAAGGACAGGGTTCACATTTTTTCAAGTTTGTCTTTGAACAACTAAATTCAGATGGGAAAAGGTCTGAGCTGATTAGCATGGTAATTTCATGTGAGTTGCATTCAGTATTACACTCACACTCACAGCAATTAGGCTTCAGAGCAGTCCCAAGAGATTCTTAGACTGGCGCCCCCCAGCTGGGGCTGTATGTTACCTAAGAGGGAGATCTACAGATGCTATCAGGGCTGAGAAAACATCCCTCAACCTCCTCTGCATCAAAATGTATCAGGTTAGTGGGATAAGTGTATTAATAATCAAAGTATTTACATGGTGTATTACATATTTTTGGTACACTACTGTGGAATCCATGACAACCAACTTCATCATAACTTGTCTATAAATACAGGAAATATATATGTACATATTTTTTAGAAGACCATCTGACTTCATTGTGCCCCCCCGCCCCAAGGCTTCTGAAACCAAACCTCTTAACTCTGGCTACGTCATATTCCCTTCACCTGAATTTTACAGTGCATTTTTACACAGATTGAGGACTATGGATTACGTCAACCATCACTTACACTGGAATCTCCTTCCCTTACCATGGGCAGGAGGAACAGTCACAGCTACCAAAAACTGCTGCACTACAGGCACGCAAGTGTTGTTTTAAGAAAGACTTAAAAATGTGAACCCATTCTTAGGTAGTCTTCTTATAATACCCAGTATTCATTGTAAATTCTGCCACGTCAGTGCTGCTGGCACAAAGATAAACAGAGACAAACAA